GTAGCAAGGAAATAAGCTTAACAGAATTTCCATCATAAAGCTTCCTGACAGTGCATAAATAAGGACATGTTTACCATGCACATAAATCAGGGTTGCTATAGTAGAACTGCTCATGTTACTTAATTTAACTCGTTTGCTATTAAATCCTCTGTCCATGCAGCTTCAGTGTGCACTGGAGACACACCCCAAAATAGGGGTGAGGGACTAGATCTGAGCTGACGTTTAATTTTCTAGTGATATTTTTAACTGGCATAAACAATTCCTCCAAAAGCTTTTGATTTAGCAAATGAGCAGTGACAGTAGACACTGAAAGCTGAAGTCAGAGACTGGTTTACAATTTCTATATCACAACCTATAGCTAATGTGGTATATTTTTACTAAAAATATATTTGTTCTAACGGATTAAGCTGAGTAAGTTTTTCTCATTTATTAGGAGACAATTCCTCCATGATACTGTTCAGTCATAAAAATAACACATTTTGAAAATGTCTCTTGCTATTATGTAGCCATGACTTTTGCTCTGAGAAGTGATTTTGCCTAAACAAGATAGGCCATACCAAAATTGCAGTTGGTATTTCTTTCTCAGGGACTTCCTATAATTTTGTTGTTTTCTGACACATTTGCATTGCTTCTGAGAAGATGAAAGCAAAAGATAGTGGGTAAAAAAGTTATAAAGTTGTCATTTTTTCAATAATATGATAATATGAAATGAAAAGAACCTGGGATGTGAAGGCTAATCAGCAGGCATTAATAACATGTTCTGGGTTTTTCAGGATGCTGCAACAGCACTTATACTCAGCTGTGCATTTCGAAGGAAAGAAAGCTCAAGTAGGAATTTCTTGGCAGTGTGAGTTCATTTAAGGCTGCCTTCAAAAAATATGACATTATGGTTCAGATGAGGTCAGAGTTATTTGCCCTTTAAAAAAAAAGTTAGCTGCTTTCATGAAAATTAACACAGTGGCTTCCAAGCCAGGTGTTGCATGTGCAGGGTGGCTCAGAGTTTAAACTGCCTCTGTATATAAGTCTTTCTTCGTGCTGCAGATTCCCAGCAGTGCTGATAACTTGTAGCTTTTTTCTAGACTTCACTATGAGAAGGGAAGGAATCTACACAAATTCTGCAGATTCTGCAGTCTAGTCTTGAAGATATTTTGTTTTGGATTTCTAGTTATCAATAATCATGAGCTATGGAGTTTAGATGCAGATCTTCGTGTCAAAAGAAAACAAGGATTTTCATAAAATTCATCTTTAAATGCAGCACTTACTCTTTTTCTCTTTTTTTTTTTTAATGCATTTTTAGCACACTATGGACCTATTTAGTTGGCTCATTAACATTTCCCTTGGAAGGCAATTAAGGTCTATTGAACACCCTCTATTTCTGCAGCTATGGAAGGGAGTGGAAAGGAAGAGAAATCCTACTAAAATATACTAACTGTTCTCCAAAGTCATTCACTGGATATTAGTGGATTCTCATTTTTTGCAGTCAGAATGATAGTAAGAAGGATGTCTGACCATACTCAATTTCCTTCTTCAAAAAGCTAGCACATTATAGCTTTTACTACTTCACTACTAAATTCAATTCCTTATCTTGAAGACACTATTCTACTTCCCAAATCAGTATAAGGACACCAGTATATCACTGTGCCTGGACAAATGTATTTTCCTGAGGTGTTCATTAACCCAAATTAATGGTGCTTACCAGCATATATATGTTTTGGTTTGGATATCATAATTTACAGCACGTAGCAGGGCAGAGCACTAGTGTTGTTGTATTTCAGTTCAGGCATTGGCACGGTCTCTTGCTAGCTGGGAATCTCCACTGCACAATCTACTGTGCATGAAGTAGAATGCCCCTATGTTGGTCCTGGTGTGAAAAAAGACTATTATTCCAGGGAAGAGACAGGACTGGTACGTATGGAGCATTCCTACCTTGGTACTTTCCACAAGATCCGGGACATCAATCTCTTCCTGAAACACACATTGCAGAAGATTGCAGAAATACAAGCCAGGGCCCAGGCTTTTGGAATAACACTTGGCAAATTTCTAATTGTCATGAGAGGGAGAGAAAAAAAGAGAGAAGAAAAAGTTTTGTTAAAAAAAATCTCCAAATATTTGCTTCAAGTTACCCAAATGTTTTGATACAAATAAAGGAACAAATGGCAAATAAAAACTAGAGTAAAGTGCAATATATTCTGCCTGTTCGATCAGGAATAGAAAATGAGCTCATGGTACCTCTGCAGTACGTATAAAATAAGTAATAGTGTGTTGTCATTAAGATTTTTTTTCTATTGCATCCTACACCACTGAAAATACTGATGTAAATCTTTTGTAATGTCTATTCAAGTGACTCAGCTAAGCACTCTAAAGCTCATTAGATGGAAGAAAACCCTACATTAAACAGTAAGTATATATAAAGCTGCTCCACAGAGACTACTCCAGTCTCAAACAGAAGGAGCATCTGTTATTTCAAAATCCTCCTCCACCTAGTAACCATATGAGAAAATAATCTGTGTAGCAATAGTAGCACAGAGAGTGATGCTTTCCTAAATTCTTAGCTGTTTCCGGTGATTTTTGGCTTAAGAACTTCCTAAACTGATAATAATATCCATGTACTTAACAGTCTTTGCAGATTTTTTTCTTTCAATAATGATTTCAAAACAGATTTTGAACATTATAATTAATCAGCAGGTCTTTCACTGACTTGGATAAGAGCTGTCTGAAACATATTCAATATTTGAATTCACAATTTTTTGGCAGTTATAGCTAACCTGAAATAAAACTCATTTGGTTTTTACATGCAGAAGGCATCCAATGTGCCTGATCCTCAAAGTTTTACTTGTATGAGTAACGACAGCTAAGCAATATTCACAGCATTACAACTAGAGGATCAGCCTCTTTCTTTGCACGTGTAAATACCAGCTGCTGTGTATATTTTATTATATGGCAAAAATATCATCTCATTATATTCTGATGTCATTGAACAGAATACTTTTCCTTATCTAAGCACACTGAATTTTAGAGCCATGGGAATTGTTTTCTAACCTGCATGGGGGAACTAGTTTTTTGAAAGTAAGTGTGATTCACAATGAATTATTCAACAATCATACAAAGCACATAAGTTTTTTTCTGCATATAAGTTTAAGAAAAGTTCTCATTTTTCCTTATCAAAGGTTTCCAGGTTGCATTAGTTAATTACTATTAAAAGATCGAGAATCGCTTAATGTCTTCTACAGAGCCAGCATTGCTCTTTTTATTTACAGAACTCTTATTTTTTTATCTATTTTATTGGTTTCAAGGTGGGGAGCTGTTTTTATTTTATTTTATTTTATTTTAGTTTAGTTTAGTTTAGTTTAGTTTAGAGTTAAGGACAGTCAGTCAGGCCTAATCTGTCATATGGTATGAAAGGTCTTATCTTTTCCAGATCAAGGAGTTTCCTCATAATAAAAAAAAGAATAAAAAACTTTTTATCCGCTTTTACGATAAACATAGGTCCAGTAAAAGAGAAGTCAAGTTAAAAACTTTAACTTTCCTTAGAGAGATCAGTTTCTGTGTAATTCAGAGGAAATCTGTAAAATGTGGTAAAATGCCATAAAACTAATGAAAATAAATGATGTGGAACATATTTCTGTACTAAAAGTCTTCAGGCTATACATTTCAGTGGTTTATGTAGTCCATGGGAGCATGTGAAGTTAAAAGTTGCAAGCACGGAAGAAGAACCATCCCAGTCACATAAACAGGATACTGAAGTGCCCTATTCTTTTATTTAAGGGCATGGCTGAGCAAAGTGAAGTTCATCTCTGTGCTGACAGACCTTGATGCCCAAAGGGAAAAAAAAATACCAAAGAATTATTATGGTTGGAAAATACCTTTAAGATCATTGAGTCTAACTGTAAACCCTTCAACACAATGCTTACTAAACCATGTCCAAAAGTGCCTCATCTACACGTTTCTTGAACACTACCAGGGAGGACGGTGACTCTACCACTTCCCTGGGCAGCCTGTTCCAGTGTTTCACCGCTCCTTCCGTGTAGACATTCTTCCTAATGTCTAACCTGAAACTCCCCTGGTGTAACTTGAGGCCATTTTCTCCTGTCCTGTTTTCAGTAGTTATTCTGGAGACCGACCCCCTCCTCACTACAAACTCCTTTCAGGTAATTACAGAGAGTGATAAGGTATCCCCTGTGCCTCCCCTTCTCCAGGCTAAATAACCCCAGCTTCCTCAGCTGCCCCTTGTAAGATCTGTGCTTCAGCTCCTTTTCCAACTTTGTTAGCCTTCCTTCGACTGATGTTCCAGCATCTCCATGTCTTCCTTGTAGTAAGGGGTCCAAAACTGAACTCAGTATTCGAGGTGCAGCTTTGCCAGCACCAAGTACAGAGGGACAGACAATCACTTCCCTAATCCTGCTGGCTGCACAATTCCTGGTACAAGCCAGGAGGTTGTTGGCCTTCTTGGCCACCTGGGCATACTGCTGCCCCATGTTCAGCCACCTGTCAACCAGTACCTCCAGATCCTTTTCTGCCACACAGCTCTGCAGCCGCTCTGCCTCAAGCCTGTAGGACTTTGGGGGGTTGTTGTGACCAAAGTGCAGGACTCGGCACTTGGCCGTGTTGAACCTCATACAGGTGGGCTCAGCCCATCAATCCAGCCTGTCCACATCCCTCTGTAGAACTTTCCCACCCCTCAAGCAGATCTACTCTTCCTCCCAGCTTGGTGCCGTCTGCAAATTTGCTGAGGGTGCCCTCAATCTCCTCATCCAGATAAGTGATAAAGATATTAAAGACTACCAGCCCCAACACTAATCCCCGGGGAACATTGCTCATGATCAGTCAACAGCTGGATTTAACTCCATTGCCCCTCACTCTCTGGAGCCAGCCACCCAGCAAAGAGTCCATCTGTGTAAGCCATGAGCTGCCAGTTTCTCCAGAATGTTGTGGGAGATGGTGTCAAAGGCCTAACTAAAGTCTCAGCAGACCACATCCACAGCATTTCCCTCATCCACTAGATGGCTCACCTGCTCATAGAAGGAGATCGTGTTGGTGAGGCAGGACGTGCCTTTCATGAACCCATGTTGGCTGGGCCCGATTCCCTGGATGTTGCACACACACTGTGTGGCCGCCCTCAAGACGATCTGCTCCATAACTTTTCCCGATACTGAGATCAGGCTGATAGACCCAGATCCTCCATCTGACCCTCCTTGTAGATGGATGTCTCATTGGCAAGTCTCCAGTCACCTGGGACCTCCTCAGTTGACCAGTACCACTGAGAGATGATGTAGAGTTCCTTGGTGAGCAGTTCTGCCAGCTCTTTCAGAATCATCAGGTGGATCTCATCTGGCTCAATAGACTTGTGGGTATCTAAGTGGAGTGGCAGGTCACTGACTGTTTCTTCCTGGATTACGTGGGTTTATTCTACACTCTTGTAAGTGACTTTCAGCTCAGGGATCCAAAAACCTTGAGAGTAACTGAGTTGGGAATTAAAGACTGAGGCAAGGAAAACATTCATTAAGTACCTCAGCCTTATCCTCATGCTTGGTGTTCCCCACCACCTTCAAGAAAGGGTGGATATTCTCCTTGACTCTCCTCTTCTTGTTAATGTATTTGTAAAAACGTCTTTGTTGTCTTTTACAGTGGTGGACAGATTGAATTCCAGGTGAGCTTTCGCCTTTCTAATTTCCTCCCTACATACCCTATTGACTTCCTTGTACTATTCCTGAGCTTCCTATCCTCTTCTTCCAAAGGTGGCAAACTCCCCCCCCTTTTATTTTTTTCCCCCAGAGTCTTAGTGATAGTTTCCTATTCAGCCAGGCTGATTTTCTTCCCCTCTGACTCATCTTTTGGCACACAGAGATAGCCTGTTCCTGTGCCTTCTTGGGAAAACTCCAGCCTTCTGGATCCCTGGAAAAGAGCTACCAAAAGAGCTACCAAAAACAGGAAGCAGCTGTACAGGTAACCTGCAAAAAAAAGTGGGTGGTTGAAGGGTGAAGGGAGAAAGTTTGATGGCTCTTCACACATGCCAGGTTCTGGGCCCAAAAGTTTGTGTTTCAGGTTGCTAATTTTTAGCACAGTGGAAGGCCTCTGAGCCTTCTGCACCAGCCCACAGACAAATCAAGTATTTTATCTTTGGCAGTGCTCCATATGTTTTTTCTTTCTTTTTTGTTCCTTTTATTAATTTTTTGAATGTTTAACAGGAAAAACACTCACAAAAGGAGAGCCAGAAGTTGAACTAAAAGAAGACCGGGGGAATACATATTTCAGGTAAATATTATTTGATAATCTTCTGTTTGAACACCAACTATGTATTCCCCCGGTCTTCTTTGGTCCATCTTTTGTCTGTGATGGTGCTCCGTTTCTTATCATATGATAAGAACAATCTACAGAGAGTAACCTGTCTCATCTGCCCTAATAAGGTTTCTGTGTTATCTGATCTCATGGCAAATGCCTAAGTTCAATAATCTAAGTTTAATAAGCAAAGGTAGCTTGACAATTTCCAGCTTGAACAGTAAATATTATTTTACCTTTTTCTTGTCTACTTTTATGTACTTTCCCCAGAAGAAACAAAATCCTCCAGAATGAGTGAAGCTAATGAATTACTATCAGCCAAAATCTATTGCAGATCATGATGAATGGCCTAAAAGTGCTGAAGCATATTTACCAGAAATGCCTCCCTCCCTTTAATAAGAATTGTGAGTATGCAAGTGAAAGGCAAAGCATCCCAAGGACTATAAAAAAAAGAGAGAAAATCATATTCTAATCTATATTTCTACATAAACCACTCAGTTTCTGGTGTTAATAATTATTTTTAAAAGAAAAAGAAAAAAAGAGTACTTTGCATATTACATTTGCACCATTGTTCTCAGACAATGCAGATTTTTTGTATTATTTTCTCCTATATATTCAGCAAATAATGGACAAAATCCTTCCCTATTTGTATGTTTCTGAAACTGCTTAGCAACCAGTCTGCATACTGTTCGACAAGATATCACACAGAAACTTAGAAATCAGTAATACAAATGCATGGGTCATACATATAAGCCAGCCAGACACACAGAAATAGAGATTGATATTAATGTTTGAACCTGACATTTTTTTTTTCCTGTAAAAAGAAAAGTGTCTCAAATAACACAGCCACTTTGTATTGCACACTAAACTTCATTTATATTTCAAAACACGGTCCTCAGTAGTAGCATCTATGTGCTAGCAAGCTCAAAATATTCATGAGTTTCATCTTAAGTTTAACCCGAGACACTGAGTTTATTTCAAAACAACCACTGTCTGAGGATTACTGTAGTTCACTTTTTCATTAATGGAAATGTAGGCCCTTTTTACTGTGTCTTACTAGATGATGTTTCAGCTCAGTGTTGAGCATGCCTTACAATGATTTTCCTCCCTCTGCCCCACGCCAGGCCTTCTAATATTTTTACAGTAAATACTTATATAAAAGTACTGCCCTGTTATAGGTGCTGTAGCTTTTAAGTGGCTCCTATTTATTTATTGCACTGTAAATCCCTTTGCCTGGTCAGAAATCTATATGCCCCTTTCCAAAAAAGAGCAGATGCACAAAGTATGAATTTATATTGTCACGAGAAGCAGAATTTGGGACTGTGCAAGGGCAGGAATAGTGAGGCCCTAGATAGGTCCCTCTGCCTTTGTGGCACAGCACCATGGATGCAAAGTGGGATGAGGATCAAGTGCAAGTCAACTATCTGGAGCTGCAAAGTCAAAATTCAAGCTTAAAAGAAAAGAACTGGAAAAGAAATGAAAATGTTTATGTAAAATATTTAACTGGATAGCAATAGTCATTACATGTATAGTTTACTTGTGCAAGGGGTGTCTGTTAACATTGTTTCCTGAAGGTGCTCTGTGATCCTTGAGGGTAGGTCTGTAAGCATCTCAGTGATGGAGGAAATCGAACGTGCTATTTCGGGAACAAGACATGGAAAGACTGAGTCCGGAAACTAAATTCCCAAGACTTTTGGGGAAGTTTTCTGTAAAATGTTCTTGAAAAGTGATTCCTACCTTTTTTAACAAATATATTAGGTTTTACAACCTGACTAAGCCAGACTTATTAACTAATAAGCACTATTTAAATATTTTACATTTAAGATATCGTACTTAAATGTTTTACATTTAGGATAGCATTTCCATTAAAATGATAACACTGGGAAGAAAAGGTATCTAAAATATTACTTTTTTAAAAAAAGTCAGAGCTACGCTTGAGTTCCTGTAAGGGAATGTAAGTGGTCCTGCAGATAGAAATCCTTTTATTGTCCTTTCTACAACACAGGAAGCTGTATGTGTTTGTATTTCAAGTATTGCCAAAATCTCTGGTACTTCAGTGTGACAATTCTCAGCACATAACATTAGATTTATAACCAAGGTTTTACCAGATGGATAGAATCTTAAGATAATTTTCAGGTGCTTCACAGCTGCTTATTTTCTACCTATTATGATCAACTTTTTATACACATAACAAATAACTTATAAATAATTTTAATGATCACACCACAGGACAAAAATTAGAGTGCATATGGTTGTTCATACTTTTGGGATGAGCAACCTGCCTTTCCCACCTGTTTTTTGTTCACTCATGATTGGAATAGCCACTGCAAATAAGGGGCAGCTGGGTTAGCTTAATGTTGCTTCAGCAGGCTGTCTTCTCTCCCTGTGCAAAAAACAAAGAAAATCTAAAGACAATTGACCTTTGTTGATCACGGACACTCAACTCAATGCATATGAATTAATAATAATTTAAAAGTAGGAAAAGTTATAGTGAAAATCAAGCTATTTGAAATGTTAGAAAGATGATCAGAGAAGGGCTGCTGCATATTTAAGAGCAGGAAAGGCCTAAGTGCTTGACTGGCTTTTTAAATAGCAGTTCCCCAAGCGTGGACCTTTTTGTCCCTTTTTATCACCCTGGCAGACAGTGCTATGGAAGACAAGTTATGCTAGCTAGGACACTGCATGCTTTTCCTTTTTTCCTTTTTTTCCCTTTTCCTTTTTTCCTCCCTTTTTTCCTCCCTTTTTTCCTCCCTTTTTTCCTCCCTTTTTTCCTCCCTTTTTTCCTCCCTTTTTTCCTCCCTTTTTTCCTCCCTTTTTTCCTCCCTTTTTTCCTCCCTTTTTTCCTCCCTTTTTTCCTCCCTTTTTTCCTCCCTTTTTTCCTCCCTTTTTTCCTCCCTTTTTTCCTCCCTTTTTTCCTCCCTTTTTTCCTCCCTTTTTTCCTCCCTTTTTTCCTCCCTTTTTTCCTCCCTTTTTTCCTCCCTTTTTTCCTCCCTTTTTTCCTCCCTTTTTTCCTCCCTTTTTTCCTCCCTTTTTTCCTCCCTTTTTTCCTCCCTTTTTTCCTCCCTTTTTTCCTCCCTTTTTTCCTCCCTTTTTTCCTCCCTTTTTTCCTCCCTTTTTTCCTCCCTTTTTTCCTCCCTTTTTTCCTCCCTTTTTTCCTCCCTTTTTTCCTCCCTTTTTTCCTCCCTTTTTTCCTCCCTTTTTTCCTCCCTTTTTTCCTCCCTTTTTTCCTCCCTTTTTTCCTCCCTTTTTTCCTCCCTTTTTTCCTCCCTTTTTTCCTCCCTTTTTTCCTCCCTTTTTTCCTCCCTTTTTTCCTCCCTTTTTTCCTCCCTTTTTTCCTCCCTTGTAAGTTATTGCTGAGCTGGGCAGGAAGGCCTGTTGTATCTGACTTAGTGGTATTCCTGGTGGAGGATTATTGTAGATGGTTGTGGGAGGCTCTTTTGCTTTAAGACAAAGTTTAAAAGAGGCAAGTAATTTCTTGTGTGGAGACTAGGAGCTGATGATATATGAACGCAGCAGAAATGAGAGTATATAGAGTTATTAATTTAGTAAGCGTATATTTGATGTTGAAAGCTTTATCTGTTAATATATTTATCACAAAGTGTCCCTCTTACGAATAGTTTAGTTTATATTGAGCAATTTTTATTTGTTTTGTTTTTCTGCAAGTGTAATTTTCATGTATGATGGTTTAATGGAAAAAAAAAAACAGAATAAGTAATGATCAAACAAAATAAAGGAGAATAACGGAGATCCCACTGGGG